CATAGTGATCCGCTGTTTACAGCTTTCGAAGACCTGAGCTTAGAGGCATACACCACCACGCCCAGTCTCAATTGCAGTCTCAGCGCACCCCAGAGGCAGGGCCGGCAGGGCAGGTTTGGGGATCTAACCCCGGCCCCTGCACCTGCTTGTAGGCGCTTTAATCCATTGAACTATTTGGCCATCCCCTTATTTGTGATAATTAAATGTGGGGGAGTACAGTTTTATCTTATCCTTTTATGATACAGTTTAATGTGTGTTGTTCATGATATACTGGTTACATTTGGAAAATATTCCAAATACAACCTATATATTTTTTCTCGCTTTTCTTTTCACTTTTTCTCCTGTATGTTCAAGCTAACGACATTGTCACCTTGAATACATAAAGAACTTTTAAACATTCTTATGTAAGGTAGTGTGTCATAAAATAAATATTCAATTTACATCTCCATTATTATGTTTTGGAACCCAGTAGAACAACATAATGTCTGTATTGGGTGCATTTCAAAAATGTATTCTGGTCCTTTATAATCTAATTAGACTTTGGGAATGATGTGCCATTTCTAATACATTTCTGAAAGTTTCTGCTACCAATGTAAAGCGTTGTGCTAAAAATGTTTAATTATTTTCTTCTAGATTTATTTGTTTAGCTGAAGTTATGGAAGATATTAGCTTCAGTTTTTATGAGACTGTTTACAATGTATTAGTAAATGGGTCTTAGCATGGTTAATAGAGTAAGGAGCTTAGCATCATCAGTAACTCTTAAAATAGATTGAATGTTCATTATATGACAGGCATTCTGTTCTCTACATGAGTGATCTCATTTAGTTTTCTGTCTTTGTCTCTCGGTCTCTGGTTCTCTGTGATTCTCTCTCTCTCTCTCTCTCTCTCTCTCTCTCTCTCTCTCTCTCTCTCTCTCTCTCTCTCTGTCTCCCTCTTTCTGTCCCAGATATTAAACTCAGGACACCGCAGTTGCCAGTCAGGTGCTATGCCACTGAGCTATATCCTCAGTCCTATCTCATTTAACTCTCAAAAACACTCATAAGCCCAGTTCTAAGGCAAGCTTTCAAACAGGATTTACGTGATCTATACATTCATTTAGTTAAGTCTGTAGTCTTATGATTTAAGATGGAATCTTTTTCATGTCCCAACTAAGGTTGCTTATGTTTCTAGGGGTCATCAAATCTGTCAGCTTTCTGGAAATAGGGTTCTGGTCCAATGGTGTCTGAAGTAGCTTCTCCTGTCATGTGTCTTCCAGTTCTCTATCAGGCTGACCCAAGCTGCTCCTTGGCCTGTTGGCCTAGATGCAACAGTAGGATGAGAAATGGGAGGATCACACTTTTCTCAAGTCTCTGCATTTGTTACAACTAGCAGTATCCTATTTAGCAAAGTGAGTCATATGTCTAAATAGAACCTGTCTCTTGATGATTGGAACTCCAAAGTCAGGAGGTGAAAAACATGGACAAAGGAGAGATAAAAACAAAACAAAAGAAAAACAACAACAACAAAATCCTGGCACCTTCAGCACAATCAGTTATTGTTGGATGCCTCATTCCAGGCAATGCAGATTTATTTAAGTATCAAATTATTTGTTTATTGTGAGACTCTCCCACTGTGATTGTAAGCTCTGCAAGAGTACAGCTGTATGTCTAGTGACTCTAAAATAATGTGTTCACAGTATTTTTTTTCCTTGAAGCTATAAGTAAATGCTGCTGAGTAGCAAAGGAAATTATTTGGAGAATGCTGTTTAAGTACTTTGATCTAGTAGCAATTGTCCCTGAAAATAAATAGCTTCATACGTGAAAAAAAGACCAGTTCTACTGTCTTCCCCTTTTAGATTAGGGTGCTACTTAAGGGGGAATCATGACTTTCCTTGTGACCAACTAGTGCATTGTGGTAGACAGTGTATTCTAGCAAAAATAGAAGCTAGTCTTACCTAAGACCTCAACTCTAGATTTTTAAACAATGCTGAATTCCATTAAAATCCTGCCTTTATGATAATATATTACAAATGGATTTAGTAATTATATTACACCCCTAGAAAACATGTGGCACACTGTCATGTGCAAGAGTAAGTGCTCACTGTCCCTGAAGTAAGTTAAGATATGAAGGAGAAAGTCCCTTTGAAATAAACACATTACCTACCGGCCTTGTTGGATATCTCCAAATTTTTAAGAGGATACCGCATAATATTTTATGAAATTGCAATGCTAGTAAGAGTGATAAATCAAATTTAACTGATAAAATAATCATGGAAAATTAGAACTAAATATGTTAATGTTTTTCTGGGAAAATATAACTTTTCCATTGCTTGAATTTTAGTATTTTAAAATTTACAAATAATTTAAGAAAGGTACTTCAATTGTTTTTGGAAAAAAGATGACTCACAAAGTCATTATTATAAAATAACAATATTATCAAAATAACATAGAAGGGGTCGGACATATAGCTCAGTGGATTAACGTGCCTGCTTAGGCAGACACAGGGGCCAGGAGTTCAATCCCTGGGCCTTCCCTGCCAGCCCCACCCCCAGGGCACGCTGAGGCAGCAATTGATCCTGGGCATGGTGGGATGCGCCTGTAATCCCAGCACTTGGGAGGCTGCAAACAGCATGATCACTATGAGTCTGATGTATGCAGTGAGATCCTGTAGACCCTGTAGGCCCTGTAGACCCTGCAGACCCTGCAGACCCTGTAGACCCTGCAGACCCTATAGGCCCTGTAGACCCTGTCCTAAATAATAAATAAATAGATAAATAAATAATAACAACATAGAAAATATTCTTCCTAGTTTATAGTACTTTGTTGCTGTGTACCATAAAACAAATAAATGGGAAAAGTGAAGCTTTTAAAAACATCTTGAAAATATCATAAGAATAAGCTGTTCATCCACACTATTACTTTCAAACTCAAATTTACAACTATTTTTCTGCAGTATCCTTTAAACGCACTAGTGCAGAATATACTCATACACTGAGCATTACTTAGTAAATTATATCCAGTGGAACATATGCATTTGCTCTTAAAAAGATAATCTTTTTAAGGAAGGAAGGGCAAGATCAAGAAAAGGGCAAGACACAGTTCTTGCTCCTCTAGAGGCAGCACTGAAATCTGTACTTACCCAACAATGTCAAAACACAGGCGAGGATTGCTATCAGGGCTCCTGTGCTGAGGCCAGCAGGTAAGACATAGGCCTCTGCATTGCAGGTCTGGGCTATGCCATCTGCATCACAGTCACAAACACGGATGGTGAGCGTGTTGGTGCTGCTGAGTGATGGGGACCCACTGTCCACAATGAAAATCGGCAGGTAGTAAACAGATTGCTCCTGTCTCCGGAAGCCACTCCTCCTGGTGAGAATTGAGGCTGTATTGTCTGGGATAAAGAAAGCAAATATGCAGCATGGGTTGCCAGTGGAAACAATTATGCTTATATTTATTTCTTAGTTGGAAAACATCCTGGAATTGCAAATTTTTATTAAACAATTTTCTTTGAATTTCATTGGGAAGATATAATGCATTTGAAGACATTTTATATTTAATCTGCACATAGCCAAATAGATATATATAGAGAGAGCTTAACATGAAAGTGTTTAATGCCATTTATTTTACTAAATGTAAATGTCAAAACTACATATAATACATTAATTTACACCAACATGAAACCATATATTTCTAGAGACTGTGAGAAAATAAAGAGAGACATACAATAGTATAACTATTCAAGCCAACATAGAGAGTCAGGAAAACATCACAATCTCTCTTGAAATTATACAACAAAGCTACTGTGGTTAAAAACAGCAATGGTACTGTTAAAAAAAAAAAGGAGGATGAGGATCAATAGAATAACCTAGAAGCTGCAGAACTCCAGACAAATTCAGCACCTTCTCTTTGACAAAGGAACTAAACACATTCACTGGAAGAAAGATAGCCTCTTTCACAAATAGTGCTGGAAAAAAGGGCCTTTCCACATGCCAAAGACTAAAACTACATTCATATCTCTCACTATGCACTAAAATAAAAATATATTAAAGATCTAAATATTAACACAGAATTACTAAATCTTCTGGAAGACACAATAGGCCAAACTTTTCAAGACACAGGTGTAGGCAAAGACTTTATAAACAAACCAAATTGCTTGTGAAATATTACTAAGAATCAACAACTGGGATTTCATTGCAAATCTTTTGTACAGCAAAGGAAATCATCACAGAGTAAAAGGAAACCCCAGAAAGTGGGAAGAATTCTAGCCAACTGTTCTTCAAAGGACTAATATCTAGAATACATAAGAATTCACAAAAATCGTACTCCTCACATTTATTTTTATTTGTTTATTTATTTATTTTATACTACTCAAATTTAAAGATGTAATCCAAAAATGGGCATATATGAATAGACACTTCTTCGATGAACAGGTAAAAATGTCAAATAAATATATGAAAAAAATGGTCAATATCACTGGGCATTCAAGAGATGCAAGTTAAAACAATGACAAGATTTCATCTCACTGTGGAAAGAGTGGCTATTATCAATAAATCAACTATGGGCAATAAAAGGAAGCCTTCTCCACTCTTGGTGGGAGTGTAGACTAGTACAAACACTA